AGTAATTCTTTTGAAAAAAACACTATTTAAAATTTTAAACTTATCGATAAGTACTTTGGTGAGAGCAGCCTGCTAGCCAATCCGTTGACATTAATCTATGTCAATGTCTAGGTCACTAATACGGGCCGTGATAAAATATGAACAAGGCTGTTTCAACAACCAATCACAGCAAACTTAACTTGGGCAAATATGATTCGCAGATAGACGGCTCTACTTTCCGAGGAAGTCGAAAACAGCCAATCAGAAGACTGCGTTTGTATACTTGACTAAGCTATAATAATGTATGTGAAATTTATATAAATACGTGTTGATTTCCGTAATAAAACGATCTGTTTCCTGGCCCTTGTCTTCTGTTGTTACAGTACTATCTAAGCCTTATTTAGAGGAATAAAAATCAATAAAAAATCAGAAAAAATGAATGAATTATTATTACTTATTGTTGCGTTAGTGGCTTTTTCATTCCAGTAAATTCGTTTCATTATTTTATGGAAAAAAATAACTAAAGCCTTTTAACTTATTCTTTTTTATTTTATTAAAAGTGTTGAAATACAAATCAGCAGTTAACTTCTTACACTTTTGTCTATCAAAGCTTAAATCCTCTACAATCTGTCTGTCTCTCTCTCTGCAATTTGATCTAATTCATTTGGTTATTTCATTGAATGATTCAATTGGTGAATCAGTTACATTCAGCAGCTTACGCATTAGCTTATCATAGGATGTTATGTTGGTTGGAGATCTATGGAGAACTATGCAGTAATCCCTCAGTCTTCTTCTAGGTTCCCAGTGGAATACATGGCACATCTCTATTTCCTCATGTCGCCTACAGTCCTTTTTAGCTAACTTTATGATTTTCCATAAGCTTTCGTTTCCCTTGTCCTAATCGATCTTCTTCACATCAGCATCGGACACACACTCAATTTATTTTACGTATGCCTAGTCATCGCCTTCCTCGACAATGGGCAATGTTAGCTGACATATGGTCAGGCTAGAAAAGAGCTAGCGCCGGTAAAACCAAAACATGGCACCAGTCAATGAAATATACAAAAGTTAGTGTACATCACGTAGGAAGGTGTAGACTGGCTTCCTGGTTGGGGTCCTCGGGACGGTAAAAACCAATGAAGGCTAAAGAAAATTGGTGATATGGCTCAAAATCGTTCTCAATGGCTAGCGCACATGTATTCACTCCTTGCGACTTATAATTTCCAATGAAACTATATTGTTCTTTGTTATTGTTCCTTTTGTCTAATACCTCTGTCTACTGTTTCTAATTTGCATTTCTTCTACCTTCTTCTCTTGCTTTGTGTGCTACATAGAGTGTGACGACTTGAACTGCTGCACATCGGTGCAAAGTTCTATGTCGAAAACAGACACACAGACAGACTCAATTTATTCTTTCCCATTAGGGTTCCATTCAAGCGATGGCCTAGCGTGCAATTTCACTTGGTGATTTTCCTCAGAGCATGTCTGATCCATCGCCATTTTCTTTGGCACATTTAATGAGTGATAGATCCTTGGTTGGTTTTGGAGAAAGTACGTTGGTATTTAACTATGCTTTTCGAGTATATAATGATAGATATATATACGTATGTCTTTCAAGTTCATAAAGGAGTTAGAAGGCTTAAAGACAACATTATTTCTATTTTGTAAGTTTTATTAGCTTGCGTTACGAGTGGAAAAACAGGGGGGCTTCAAGCCTGAGCTTTGAAGTTTCACTACCAGCGGTGTTTATTTTTTACAGGGTGGAGTTTTGACCTCACCTCCAACCTTCCCTCCTTGATGGGCTTACCTCAAGCTAGATGAGGTTTCAGGAGTGAGTCAGCTGGTGATCAAACCTCAGACTACATGAACTGCTGATGAGTAGTCTACCGCTGTACCACCAACACACACACACACACACAAATTTCGAAAGAATTCGGGCCACCCAGTGCTACTGTCAGAGACATTGCCACTGAGCTCTTTAGGTTCGAAAGACGATGCTTGAAGATGACAAGTGAATTATAATTTCAAGTTTTGATCATGGACAGATATCATTGAAAACTAGGGAGTGCTGGATTAAGGACTCACTGGCAGAACCCAGCCATCAAGTTTCGACAAAGTCTCATTATTAGCATCACCTGTGAGTTGCAATCTTAGGGAGACTGAGGAAAGAAAGTGAAACTAAAGACATACTAGAAGAATTCAATAAAGCAAATCCTGACATAAGCTTCATCAAAGAAGAAAAAGAACAAAATGCCTCTATCACGTTTTTTGAACGTCCTAATGACTAAGCGAACAGACGGAACAACATTTAGACGTTTGCAAAGAAAACATAATTCCACTAGACAATATACTCACTTCCTGAGCTTCGTACCTCTATAATACAAAACGTTATATAACTAGATGTCTGGTTCACCGAGCTAGAATTATCTGTTCAAATGAGACACTGAACGAAGAACTCAGTAATATTCGTGATCAACTAAGTAAAAACGGATATCCGAATAAATTCGTAAACAAACACATGAACTCAGCAGGTAAAAAGTCGAAGGTGCCTAATGTTCTCACAAAATCAGTCTTCCTAAGGTAACAATTCACGAGTAATGTCAGTAGTGAGAACTTATCACAACGTCTGAGAAGGGCCTTCAAAACTAAGCTATGATATATGTTCACTGACAAACCAATACTTAGTTCGCCTTTTCCGTGTGTATTTACCAGTTTGACTTCTCGTGCGGAGCTAGTTACATTGGATTCACGATCAGGCAAAATTCATAATCGAATCTCTGAACAGATCCGATCTTATTTTGTCAAAAGTTCGAATAAAGCTATACACAGCTCAGTATTAGCCCATCTCGTCGATACTGACTGGACATCAAGTCGACTGACTCTAACAAAGCTTTTAAAGTTTATTTGTCGTATTACACCCAAAGACTTTCGTCATCTACGAGTATGACTTTTACATACAACAGAGGCATTCGGAACTCATCTAAACAAGCGAAATATGTGTATTCAAAAGAAATTTGTACAGTACAGCCCCTTTCTTTGCCATGATCAACTATATAATATGTATTAAGTTTTTAAAAATGATTTCCCCTGCCCCTTGTAACTATCTTTTGACTTTTTTTATATTTTATTATGATTACAATTGCAGCTAATTCTATCCACTAGTTTGTATTTTATACTTAATTCTTCTGAGTCATCCTATTCTTCTTAGTCATCATTGCTATTTTACAAATTTCTTGATTATGTAATAATTTGTTGCCAACGCCTAAGAATCAACTTATCTTGAATTCCGTAATTATTCAGTTTTCACCCCCACCCCATCAAAACTTGGATATCTTGTTACTAACATCTCTTGGTTAATTGTTTTGATTACTTTTAACCTCTTCATGTCATCAACACCACCACCCTTCCTATATATCTAAAACTGATTAACTAAAATAACTACTTAATTGGTAAACATTTTGATGTGAAAAACCAAACCAACCATATATTAGTGTAGAGACAGGAGCTGAGAAGGGACTAATTGAAAAGTAATTATTGTACAGCTAAACGATGAATGAATCCGGTGAAAAGAAAAACTCTTCGCTAAACTGTTTATCTTTATTTCAATGAGATATCATCATTTAAATTTTCTTCCTGCCACTGTGTGCGTCGGTGGCATAGCGGTTAGGACGCTCGCCGACTATGCACATGGTCCGGGGTTCAATCCTCGGCCACCGACGTACTCCTTTACCTCGCTAAGCCGGAAATAATGCCGGGCATGAGGCTAGCAACCCCATCCTGTAGAATAAACACTGCTACAGAAACTTCAAGCCACTAGCCTGAAGCCTTATGTTCCACTGGGGAACGTGAAGGAAAAAAATCCTATCACTGAAGCCTTCGCTATTTCTACAGGCAATCTTAAACTTTGTATTCGGAAGGCTTTTATTCAGTTTCGTTTTCTAATTTGACTTTAGTTTGTATAACCTTCTTGGTTTGTTGAATAGTAATAATAATAATTTTCCCAATGAAACCTTAAATCTGAGTTTCTTTTCCGCATAATACTCCCATTTCTTAGCTCTATCTTACAAATAGTCATTTCTAACCACTACTGCCTTCTTGACATCACTTTTATAATTTTCACAGTTTACAGTTTTCTTTATTTTTTGAATTACAGTGTTAAACATATTTAGTCTCTGTATTTTATAAGCAAACAGCACATCTGAGGGATAGATGTCAAACACTATGCATGAGACTTCAAGGTTACCATAACTCGATAGCCAATTCGCCTAAGCAGTTTGGGGCCATAGAACCTCATTTAAACCACGGATAATTTATTGCTTAATTCTATAACTTAAATATTGTGCGTCGGTGGCATAGTGTTAGAACGTTAGCCGACCACGCATGTAGTCCGGGGTTCGACCCCTGGCCAACGCCGCACTCCTCTGCCTTGGCCTTGCTAAGCCAATAATGAGACTGGTAAAGAGTGAAGGTTGGGCATGAGGTTAGCAGCCTCATCCCTTAAAAAAATAAACACCACTGCTACCGAAACTTCAAGCCTTTAGCTTGAAGCTCTATGTCCCACTGGGAACGTAAAGGAATAAAAGAAACTTCAATAATGAGTAATGCATGGTGTCAACTTCCTTATCAAATTGACTGAATAATCTATGAGCTCATCATGTAGCCGGTAGGTCCTGGATTCGAACTCCCCCCAGCAGACACATACTGTTGAAGTGTCCCAAACAAGGACGAAACAGCTATCCAGTTCTACGTGTTGGTTTTCCACGGATGTCATCTAGCGATCAATTCTGTAACTAATCAAATCTGTGTAAAACCATCACCTGAAAAAAAATCCCCAAATTCATAGATAGGATTAAACAATGAATGCCAGCAGGTAAGATCATCTACAGTTCAGGCAGGTTTCTTTATCGACAGACCCCAACAACAAAAAACAGTCATTATTAAATTATATATATATATATATATATATATATATATATATATATATAATAAAATATGAAGCATTATAATGTATATTAGATTACCTTTCAAGTGAACTGTTGCCACAGCATGCTCTGATTTTGAAAAGCTAAATACACAACGATATTGACCAAAAACACGTTGATCAAGAACTGTAAGGAGAATAGAGAAGAAAGCAAATTACCAGTACACTGAGTTTGTATCAAAATGGACATCATAAGCAGTGTGTACTAATAATATACATAGTTTTAAAAAGGAATAGAGTTAAAGAAAGATATTTATTAAAAAATCAAGTGAGTCCTAGCTATCCGGAGTGAGTGTTATCAACTCTCTAACTTCATAACACTAATATACACCATATCATTCTAGTAAAAAATTATCCCAATTGCTTCATATTTATATATTTAGGTAATGGGATTTTCATGGGTTTGGATTAATCTCATCCGTTAGATTTCGTCACAAACTAACATTAGTTATAGAGACCGTTGAGAACCAGGGAGTACCAGACAGCTGTTTCGTCCTATTTTGAGACTCTTCAGCAGTACCACTGTAACAACAGAAGACAAGGGCCAGGCAACAGATCGTTTTATTATGAAAATCAACACGTATTTATATATATTTCACATACATTATTACAGCTTATGCAAGTAGACAAGCGCAGTCATCTGATTGGTTGTTTATCAGAAGTTAGGCAGACAAACACAGGCTTCTGATTGGTTGTTTCGGGATTCCTCGACAAATAGAGTTCTCTATCTGCGAATCATATTTTGCCACGTTAACTTTACTGTGATTGGTTGTTAAATCAGCCTTGTACATATTTTCTCACGGCCTGCTCTCACCACACTACTTACTAAGGTAGTTATAAGTTTGTAGCAGTCTCTTTTGACATATATGATTCAGACCGTATTCTTCAGATGGCCATAGTTTCAGAAATTCGAAGTAGTCGTGAATTGCTGTATCATTCTAGTGCCTTCTACCATGCATATACCGTTCCAGGGCGTAGTTGAATGAAGCTGAACCTATAAGATATAGACTTCTAGACAGGTTGTATTCAGTAATCCTCCTAGATAACCGCCATTTTGCTCTTCCTACTTCCTTCCTATCGCATTTACATATAAATTCATAAAGATGGCTGGAGTTAATGACAGCAGGATATTGGTCTAATTGAAAACGTGATTTAGAACAGTCTGTCTCTTTTTTTGATAAATTCTAATAAGTCATTAAAATATTATTGGTTACTTATATAGAATCCCTTTTAGCTCATAGAATCAATCAATATGTCTGTATGGAGATGGAAGGTTACCGCTTCGACTAGACAAGTAAAGGAGGAAATTGTAATAATGACAATAGTTTTACTCCAAACAGTACTTTCGGTAAAAAATATGAAATTTTCAGCATGTAATACGATGTTCTATCTAATTTTTTCATTACAGGGGCAATAATTCAAAACAGGGCATTTACATTAAATAATATTGTTCAATAAGAAATGAATATTAAATTAAATCATGTGAACATATCACCGACAATGTAACAATGAGAACAAAAAAATAATGTCGTTTACTCACAGTTCCTCATCAGTAAGTGAGTAATTTCCTGTCTTACACTTTTCTCATCATAAAGAATGTGTGCCTGCCAAATAAGGTGTCGTAGAGTTTTTGTACTTAGTCGTCCGAACATACAATCTTTTATAATTGCTTCTAGTTCTACCCGACGAGATAGATGTATGGAAAGGATGTTCAGAGTCTGGGAGGATATTTGCCAATTTCTTGTAGGAATCCAAGTGTCTATCTACAACAGTATTACCGATTTAGTTGAGCGACATCCATCGCACTCAGCCTACTAACGGCTTCTAGCGCCCTACGCAGTATAATAAACAAAGTTTTTCTTAAGCAACTCGGGAAAGATTAAACTGGGGGATGAACAGTAGAGAGAATGCAAGAGTTAAAAAACTGTAACAGTAGAGATGAAATGTGATACCAGACCGTCCAGACGACGTTGTGAAGCAGCTGCGTCAACTGAGATGAATAGGACATATGTTACGCATACATCTCTCCTTACTACCTAGCACTCACTCGACTGATGTCTAATCTCAATATTGTTCACCTTCGTAGTATACCACTTAACATGAGAGATAGAACGCAGGCACCTATGATCAAAGGCAGCTAGCTGGCCTTTTCATGTCTTCAACTTTCAATGGAGGCCATACCTCGCTCACATCCATAAACAAGGATAGAGCAAACTGCTGAGCAGTACACACGTCCATTGGTCAATAGCTAGGCGGATATTACGTCTACTAAGCCAGGTATATACCAAACGAGCCTTCTGTATTCGTGCAGAGATTTCGTCAACGATCAACCCGCTAGCATTGGCTGATACAATCTCCCAAATAAGTAAAGTGGTCAACATGCTCCACCAACCACTTCACTTCCTATCTTTAAGCTAGGAATGAGTCAATGAAGTCCAGTCCTGTAGCACCATATTACATTATGTATATATACGAGCTACTGCTAACACTGCAACGTTCACATTTATGTAGCTGTGTATTCGTATTTTAAAATTTTGATGCCGAATTTTAGGTAGGTGAGAATATTTTATGTCTCGTATAGATTTTAAAGAATTTCGAAAGTTCTGTTCTGAAAAATAATTTCCCAACATTTATTTTTTTATTACCCCACCATAGAATCAAATTCTAGTTCTTAAATTATTTAATAATAAAATAATAATAATAATAGTTATAGTAATAATGATTTTATTCCAAACAGTACTTTTGGTACAAACATGGAATTTTCAGCATGTAGTGCAATACTGAATCTAATTTTCTGATTACAGGGGAAATACAATCTTCTAGAGTCGCTTCTACTTCTATCTGATGAGACGCAGCAAGGAGAGAGTTCTGTATAAGGAGAGGATGCTCACAGTGTGAAAGGATAATATTTGATGATTTCTTGCAGGAATTCAAGTGTCTATCTACAATAGTATTAACGAGTTGGTTTAGTAACATCCCACTCGCCCCCTACTGACGACTTTTAGCACCTTAGGAATTATAACAAACGAAGTTTTCCTTAAGCAGCCCGGGAAAGATTAAGCTGGTGGGGGGGGGTAAAGATCTATAGGCAGCCATGCAAGAATAAACAAACCGTAACAGTAGAGACGGAATGATACCAGACCGTCTTAACTTCCTTACTGGGAACGTCAAACGAAATATCTTTCTGGAAACTAACATGATATGGGAAGACCAGGAAAGATGGTCAGAGGAAATATACAATCCATGGCATATGATATTTGATTTGGTTTCACCTTCAACACCATCTATGATGGTAGAACTGTGCGAACTAACCAGTTTATGTTAGTTGCTTTTGAATTTGAAAGTTAAATTAACCACCTGACAGTTGGAGGGATTAAGCTGAAGATCATTTGACTATGACCACTGACTAATTTCTGATGAAAAGTTATTCATTTTAGAATAATCTCTGACTGGGAAGTAACCGCCGGCATAGAAACAGTCAGATAGATAATCGGCATACTTAACTAAATTGGCTTCGTTAGAATGCGGCAAGTCACATAAGAAGAAGAAAAACACAAAAGGAGAAACAAAAGCTCCCTGAGGAACACCATCTAGAGTAAGTGAAACAGTGGAGAACTTCCCATTATAGACAGTATACTGCCTCCTATCAGAAAAATAGGAATGCAACCGCTTGGTAATCCAGCATTGTGCATCCAGGAAGCTTGTTTAACAAAAGACGCCTAGGTACAGCAGTGTCGAAGGCAGATATATAATCTAGGAAGGCACACTGAACATACTGGGCACCTCTGTCTAAGCTAGAGATAATATTATGATATAAAACGACAGTGGTATCTAAAGTACCCCCTACTATGTTTATGAGCAAATTGATTAGGGTTGTTAAAATTTTTCATTGTCACAGCTGACAAATCGCAACAAAAGACATTTTCGGAATCATCATGCTCCACTGAAACGGTAACCAGTAGTGACTGTAATATGTGTGTACATCTGATATGGAGATTTCTATTGAGTTAGCTCAACATGGGTCAACAATTCACAAATATCTGGTTAGTAGTGAAAGCCAACTATTCACTCTCTAAATAGATGATACCTTCACATCATACTAAAGATCAGATGACCGGCCATCAAGGATTTGGGGACAATAAACTCTAGGAACGAACCAACCAAGAACTTGTAGCCTAAAAACTACACAGAAGGAAATGAAGACGGAATAACCATACACTGAGGATACCTTTGAGTGATATCGAGCACCAGGCCCTTAAGTGGAACTCAAATAGGAAAGGATGAGTTGGGCATGAATCCGAAGGTGAAATGGAGGAGATCGTGTGAGTAGGAAATAAGGGCCTAATGGGTAATGGTTTAGACAGATGAAGAAGACTCCAGAGAACGAAATAAAATGCAGATATTCTATCGAAACCCTATTTCCACAAGGAACCTAAGGGAATAATAATAACACTGATAAGCTGAAGTGGGAAATTTCAGAAAGTGACAACCGAAATGTTTCAAACTACAATCCAATAGAATTGCGGGTAAACTAGCTTCATTGAATCCTTCATGAAGGAATTACTAATGAGGCCGCATGGCGTAGTGATGAAATACTCACTATCAAATGCTGAATGTTGAGAAACACTGGACACAATTTCAGGTTATGAACTTCCTCTGTTACCTTTGTAAGAATTGTTAAACGACTATGGGAAATCAGTAAAACACTACAACTAGATTGAACTATTTACCTATCAACTGATATCATCCACTAAATATTTACCTTGTGAATTTACTTCTACTTTTGGCCAATACGACTTTTGATCCTACTCTAAAATGTCCACAAGTAAAAAATGATAATTTTATTAAACCAATGAATTCAACTGCAGCAATATGTGAAGATTATACGGCAATACAATTCAAATACTTTTAATACATTTCAATTAATTATATTATTATTATATCCTTTAATTTCTAGACGAACATAGGGCTTCAGCTGCGCATCTCCATTCCCTTCTGTTTTCTGCCAACATTTTCACCCCGCCCCAAGTCTGCCCACATGCTTTCATCCCCTCTTCACATCACCTCCTCCAAGTCACCCCACCCTCGCACTGACGACCAACTCGCCACTTCCCTTTCGGGTTCCACTCGAGCTATGGCTTGTCTAGTGATGTCACTTGGTGGTTTCCTCAAAGTATGGCCAATCCATCTCCATTTCTTCCTGCCTATTTGTTTCACAATCGGTTCCTGCTGAGTTGGTTCGCTCATTGCCAGAGATCCCTGTTGCTGATCGTTTCTGGCCATCTGATCTTGAGTATTGAGCGAAGACAGCCGTTAATGAAGGTCTGAAGTTTGTTTGAGATGCTCTTCATGACGCGCCAAGTCTCTGATACGTATAGTAGCACTGACTGACTTCCCATTGGAGTTGAAAATCAGGATCTTATTTTTGATGCTGAGTGCTGTTGACCTCCACACAGACTTAAGAGTAATGAAAGCTTGTCCTGCTTTTACGATTCTGGCTTTGATATCCACATCAGTCCCTCCTGTAGTTGAAACGATGCTTCCCAGGTAGGTGGGTAGGTAAAGGAGGTTGTTTCTTTCAAGTTCCTCCCATTTATGCTAATTGTTGTCTGTTGTTGTTTTTGTTGCTGTTGGTCAGAAATCTTCATCACCTCTGTTTTATCTATGTTCACCTGAAGTCCTATCTTATATATATATATATATATAATTGGTATCAATTTCTACAGCCGATAGATGATCAATGGATGTGTGAAGGATAAATTGTCGCTTTAGGCCACCTCAATGTGTGTTTATAAATTCACCTGCTCGTGTGGAGCTAGTTATATTGGCCGCACAAAGCGCACGCCTTCCAAGCGCATCTCTGAACATTATCCGGAATGGTTAGCACAGCGACAAAGCAAGACAATTACTAGCTCAATTCTCGAGCGTTTGGTTAACTGAGGCCACGTAGCTCCACCAGAATTGTCTTTCAAGATCATCTACAAACTGAAACCAAATGGTACAAAGGGTGTCAAGTTTCGGCTTTTGTGTATGGCGGAGGCACCGACAATTCAACAATACAACCCTGAACTCTGTATACAGAAAACGTTTTTCCAGTCTATTATTCTACCTTGGTCTTAACCTCTTCACTAATCGTTTTGATTTTTTCCTTTGTTTTTTTTAAATTTTAATTTAACTTTTAGTTCGCTTTTGCTTTAATAATTAATTCACTATTATCACTCTCATATGATCCTTCTGTACATTTCACACTCTCTTCACAGTTGTTAAATTGACACTCAAATATCACCTTTATTCTCACTCAATAGCAATTTTAACCTTATCAAACTTCTATCCTTGTGCCTTTGAGAACCACATAATTTACAACTTTTAATTTTCACTTCTAAAGCCACTTCTAAGTAATTACATCAATTATGTTACCCCCAATTACTCAATATATTATATTTGTTCTAAGTATAAATACGGCTGTACAGCTTCTGAAGATGATTTCGTCGATGAAGAAAGTTTTCTTTGCTGAATTTGTCTTTTATTTTCTTCATATAACTGGTTAACATTTTTAATGGTAATTAGGTAGTTGATTAACGTTTTCTTACTAGTCCATAGTGTTAGTATTGACTGACTTCTATTCATCAGGGTTGAAAGTTGGTCACCATTAGGATGCATTTGAGATTCATGTTGGACTGTTGGAAAAATATGGTATAGAAATCTTTGACCTAGGTCTCGTGCCTTTTCGACATTAGTCAGCAGGATATATCTGAAACTTTTGCAGAACTCAAATCCACTCGAAGGTTTGAAATGGTGTCACCTAAACTGACAGTCAACAAACTGAGCTATTAGAGAGGATATTTTTTTAAATCTCTTTACATTCTCAGTGGAACATAGGGCTTCAAGCTAAAGCTTTAAAGTTTCGTTAGCATTGGAGTTTTTATTTTCACGGGATGAGTTGCTAGCCTCATTACCAACCGTCACTCTCTACCAGTCTTATTACTGGCTAAGAGAGGTAAAGGATTGCATCGGCCAAGGACCGAATCCCGGACCACCTATATGGTTGACTAGCATTCTGCCGTTGTGCCACCAATGCTCAGAAAGGATATTAGTTCTCCCAACAATACCAATGACGGAAGCAGAACTACCACTGGACATCGATCCCCCGACGAAATCAGAAGTCCTGAATGTAATCAAGATGCTAAAAGCTAGAAAAGCAGCAGGACCAGATGGAATCCCAGCAGAAGCATTGAAAATGGACCCAGAGACAACAGCAGACTTGATGATACCATTACTCGAGAAGGTGTGGAAAGGGGGCAAAATACCCGAGGATTCGAAGAAAGGACACTTATTCAAACTACCAAAGAAAGGAAACTTAAGTCAGTGCAAAAGCTGGCGCGGAATTATGTTCCTGTCCATCCCAAGCAAAATACTAAGCTGAATTATCCTGGAGAGAATCAAACAAGCCAACCTGGATGAAAAACTTCGACCGGAACAGGCTGGATTCAGGAGAAACAAGTCATGTATTGATCAAGTCGCCACACTACGGATCGTCATTGAACAAAGCTTAGAATGGCTGTCACCTCTCTATCTCAACTTCATCGACTTTGAAAAGGCCTTCAACAGCGTCGATCGAGAGGTGATTTGGCAACTACTTCGCTACTACTATCGCCAATGATTTTCCTGATTGAAGTAGATTGGATAATGCGACAGACAACGGGCGATGAGGAAACAGGCATAAAATGGACTCACACAAAAAACTTGGAGGATCTGGACTTCGCCGATGATTATTGTCTGATTTCCCAGAAACTTGAAGATATGCAAGTGAAAAGCAACAAGTTGGCAGAAGAGGCATCCAGAGAAGATAGGACTTCAGGTGAACATAAATAAAACAGAGGTGATGAAGATTCCCGGCCAACACCAATAGCAACAACAACAGACAACAATCAGCATAAATCGGAGGAACAAAGATCTCTGGGAGCGCTCAATACTCAAGATCAGATGGCTGGTCAGAAAAGATCAGCAACTGGGATCTCTGGCAATGAGCGAACTAACCAAGAACCGATTGTGAAACAAATAGGCAGGAAGAAATGGAGATGGATTGGCCATACTCTGAGGAAACCACCAAGTGACATCACTAGACAAGCCATAGCTCGAGTGGAACCCGAAAGGGAAGTGGCGAGTTGGTCGTCAGTGCGAGGGTGGGCTGACTTGGAGGAGGTGATGTGAAGAGGAGATGAAGGCATGTGGGCAGACTTGGGGCGGGGTGAAAATGTTGGCAGGAAACCGAAGGGAATGGAGATGCGCAGCTGAAGCCCTATGTTCATCTTGGAATTAAAGGATATAATAATAATTATAATAAAGTTGTAAGTACGCTTAGCTGAGATAAGTACCATAAGTTTAAAACCCAGACTAGTTGTTTCTTGCCATTTGCATCCGATCGTCTGATAAACGTCTTTATTGTAATGTTAATCATTGTTATTGTAATTTTTGTTTGTTTTTTTGATGAACTTACTTGGTAAATTTAGCCGAAGACGAGCTGTAACCGCTCTTATTGATGCATCTCTTATTGTTGTCTTTGAATAAATTTGATGAATTTGACTTTGATTAACTGAAATATCATCAAAAAGTCCACCTTCCCATGTAACAGTTATAATATCTAACAATTTTACACTTCCAACAACACATGTACACGACATCCAATTTCTATCCGTATCTAGAAATGCACTAGTGTCAAGATGTCTTCGTGTAAAATTAAAATTTCCAATTTTGTCTGTATATTCAATTGTTGGCACAATAACATCATTTGTTGCAATAACTATTTAAAAAACAAAACAAAAAAGGCAAGAATTGTGAAACACTCTATTGTCTAGTTCAATGCATAAAAAGATAATTAACACGAGACATATACTACTAATTGCTCAATATGAGTAGTTGAATACAACTCCTATCAACCGGTAGTGCTTGCTAGTCAGGTCGAAGTGATCTAAACACCTGATGGCCGTTTCGCTCATTTTGGGGCAAGCTCATCACCGCCATTTTGGCAAGCCCAACTCTGCTTAAAGAACGAAACTGCTTCAGAATTCTCCAATTCTGGCTAGAAACATCAGAAAACTGATGTTGCATTCAGTTAAATTCACAACATATACTCCTGGTTGATACTAGAACTATCCAATCAATTGTATCAATGAATTAGTGGTAGATAGCAGCACGAATATATGCTTACTTTGTGGATTGTGCATGCGACTGACGTGATTTATTAGTAGTATGTAAAGAGACGCTTATCGGTATAAAAACATCAAATGGCGGAGAGATAGATTTGATGTCAAAGAGAGGAAGTAAACCAGTATTGCGGTGAAACATGGGAGATACGAAAAAAAGACAAAGAAACACTATAGGAATGGCAAAAGTAGCACAATAAGAAAGGTATATGCAAATAGCGATTTTAATATAGGGTATGGATAATTTTTCTATAAGTGCATATCAAAAATTCCATTGTCCAATGTCTTTTGTCTTCTCCTGTTACATTTATAACACTGTGGATGAGAACCTCTACTGTCCGTGCAATCTCACGCAATATGACCGTACATACTACACCTGTAAAATCTTGGACCATCGGGGTCAATTTTATTGATTTTCATTTATTATACCAAGCATATCATATATTGTGGTTCGAATAAATTTCGTTTTCCGAATATCACACCAGATTATATCATTTCAATCTATTAATTTCATTCTAATATTTTTTAAAATACCGTTGGTAATAATTCTTAAAAGAAATCAAAAGTCTTTGTAATATCGCTAAGACTTCTTAATTTAGGGCAGAAGTAGAGTTGAAGAAATAACTTTTTCGACTTATTTTACTCTATTTCATACGATTTTATCATTCAAAGTACTGTGTTTCTAACAACTATTGACTTACGCTGTGTCTTCAAAACCACGCCTCTTTTGCGTTCAAGGGTAAAACACAAACTGCCTAATTCCGCCTATTCCATGTGTATCTACCAATTTAACTGCTTCTGTGGAGTCAGCCACATAGGCCGTGCAATTAGGCGTGTTTCTCGTCGAATTTCCGAACATCATTTTGCATAGTGGTTAAGTAAAAGACAAACAAAATCTATTCGTAGCGCTATTCTATCGCATCTTTTGGATACAGAACACAAGATTGATGTTAACCAGGCTTTCAGGGTCATTTATTGCATACCAACAAATCTTAATTTCGCCTTAAGATTTCGACTACTAAATATTGTTGAGGCTGTAAGAATCCACATTAAGAAGCCTAATTTATGTGTCCAAAAGAAGCTAGTTCAAATATATTCCTTACCTTGACCATATAGGTTTAAATGATCCTCAATTTTGTAAAGAAATTTCCTTGACAGCCAAACTGAGTCAGGTAGGGAGATTCAGACTCCCGGGTTGGGGCCCTCGGGACTCTAGGAATCAATGGCTGGAGACAATAGGTGACATGGCTCAAAATCGTTGTCAGTGGCCAGCGCAGATGTATTCAGTCTCTGTAATCTTTCATATTCCTTTCTACCATTACCCATTCTGTTTCACTCTTATACTTGTCGGACTGTATTGATTCTCTTCACTCATCTTCTTGTCTACATCTGTGTGCTATTTGGAACGTGGCAACTCGAACTGGTGCACTTCGGTGCCAAGTTCTATGTTGAATCCAGACAGACAGACAGACAGAAAGAAATTTCCTTAGTTTTAGTTTATATTCTATTCGCTATTGTATCTTTATTATTATTATATAAGTATCTTTAATGAACTGTAATTCCATTGATCTTACTTTACAAATCGATATTATTTAAAAAAACACTAATATTATTATTGACTACTAATCTAGAATATTCTATGTATATAAACATGCATATATAATTGTAGAGCCAGAAGAGGAATTTATCGAAAAGGATATTCTTTGCTCAATTATTTTGTGTTTTATAGATGTCTGAATGAATATTTACGCTATGTTAAAAATGATAGTCTTATCAATAATGTTGTCTACACAGTCTTTACAAGTGTTGATGAATATGAACTTAACTAAAATACACTTTCTAAACTGCTCACAAATCGTTTGTAGTCCTTTGAGGAAAACAGACAATCTTTAATTCCTCACTGTGTTACAGATAAAGATAAATACTGTATAAACTGTTAGATAGTTGGTGGAAATCGGTGAGAAGCGTAAGACTTAGGTTTCGTGATTCCTGGCATTCACCAGTCAGCAAAGGGTATAAGTAATCCTCAAGGAACTCAAGTCCCCTCTGATATTCGAACCCATGTTACCCAGTTTTGCACTCACAGATGTTACCATTTAGTTACCCAAGCTCGCAAGTGACCCGTAGGACTGTAATCAATAGATTAGTGACTAACTTCATACGTCTAGTCCTTCGTTTGGTGAAGACTGAATTCGATCAGTTGATGAATAAATTGATGACTAGATAGATAGCTTGATTTTACATAGTGTATATTTCAAGAAGATTCTAAGGTAATTTTCGATGAATACTCCTCACATTACGTTGTGTTACTCACTCCCGAGGGACACCTTTGCAATGTCCGCTTTCACAGAAAGCTAACTGACTAAAAATTGCTAAAATCAGCTAAGTATCTGTCATGTATAGGTCATGACAACATCCTTTAGCTCTGAGTTCAGTATAATTTTAGCTTTCGCAGTTCTCCATCGGTGCGACAACCATCCCTTCTGACGACCATAAAGGTGAGTGAATGGTTATCATGGTTGATGGATAAAAAGTGTGTTATAGCATGCTAAGCTTTTCATAGGTTGCCCACTATTTTGGAGTCAGCCATCTCAAACTTAGCCACCTTATGGCAACGTAACTGATCCCGATCCACCGCAATAATCTATGCAGCTGATCTTACAGTCATTTTGTCTTATTTGGTCAATAGTGTCCTTTAGCCTACCAAGCCTCTCCCTGGGTAAGTTTATAAGTTTGAATGCCACCGTAACTCCCGACTTATTAAGAATCCTACGTATGGTTGTTTACGTCATGACAACACAAGCCTTAGTTTCTTTGTCATTTTAAGGTCGATGGTTTTACTTCTGTATGTTCTGCTACTATCAGTTATTTCAACGTCCCAATGAATTTTATGGGATGTTTATGCGCCACTAGTGCTTCTTCTATCTGTTTCATTTCATTATCTACGCTTTCTTAAATGCTAGAGTTTTCGCTCGGTCGATTAGGCAACTTATTAAACCTGCCTTTGCAGATAATGCGTGAGACATCTAAGACCTAAATATCTTCTAGAGTATGTTGGCTATTTTTAAACATTGATGTATAACTTTCCTCCTGCTCGTTTTACTTTTAGACCTAACATAACTACTTTTCTTCCTGTTAGATTTGTGACTGAAATATAAATTTAATTCAAACCACTATCCAGTTTATGTGAGAAAAAACTCGAAAGAAATCATGATTTGAACACCATGACAGTGTCATGCACATATCACTACCATACATTTGGAGGCAGAATTAAACGTTTTAAGAAACATATTTTACAAATTGGGGATATTTGTGATACAATCGCTACTACTTTCATTTTTAATAATAATAATAATAATCACTTTATTCCACTACAACCTAAAGAAAAAAGACATGAGGCGTAACCAAGATTTCAGAATAAATTCCTCAACGGGTATCATTTTCCTCGAATAAGTCCAGCATCAGAAGTTAGTTTTTTTCTGAATGCTTCTAGAAGTATGCTGATCGATATATTAGTATACACATCAGCTACATTGAAATAACCGTGACAAATCTACAGCCGATTCAGTAAGCCTAAATGCCTTGTTCTATTGCCAGAAATTAATTATGCTGGTAGAATAAGTATTACTGTTAAGGTGCATAATCCAGATTACCCTATAAGATCAACAGTTTATCTTTTTTACCGAAGATCAGGAACCTATATCTTACAATCAAGAAGCGAGCACAAAGAAATCGAATTGGTTTATACTAGCTCGTAAAAGCGATATTGGATATTGGATGTCTTCGAATCGCCCCTACATACGAGTTGTCTAGACATTTGCAATAATACTATATCTTAATATAAGTAGTTTAGACTTTAAAGGGGTCATCTCATAAGCAGTGAATAAGCCAAATAATAATCAAATAGAAAATAGTGAGAGAATTGTGTTTTAATATATATACACCCAGCTAGCATTTTCTTTATATGTACATATATATATATATATATATATATATATATATATATATATATATATATATATATATATATATATATATATATATATACGGGTTGAATAAGATCCAGGCGGTGGCCTCGTGTTTAAAATGCGAAACAGGTGTATTAAAAAAACAGCTCAACAGATTCTAAACTCCCACATATAGGGAGAAATCAGGTTGACTAAATTCACTTCAACATTTAAATATTCTCTAAGGTGCACGAACAATTTAAACTAAACTAAAACTTGTGAACACATAGTACATCAATTTTTAAAATTTATAGATTTTTCACTCACTTGAGTATATGTACACAGTAACTATATCAGAAAGGCCCCTGGATACACATTCATAAACACCAGAGTCGGAAAATTCAGTTTCTGTAACTTCCCAGCTCACTTCAGTGCCAAATTTCGCCACCAGTTCTGTGGTCACATTCTTGTCGTAGTCTTTTCGATTTATTGTGATATTGTCAGGCCCAGTAGCTGTACACCGTAATCGAAGTGGTTGTCCAAGATATACAATTTTTGACCTCGTTACGATCCAAGAACCATCATTAAAAATTGACAGACTAGTACTGAACTCTAATTATATATGTAATTTTATGTGGTCGACTCACTTACCAGAAGACAGTGAAACTACAAAGTTTATGATAACTAAAAAAGCAACTGAAAACATTATACACAAAGTGGGCGCTCGTAAGTTCACATAAAAGTAAATTTTCCTAGATAATATAAACAAAAGTATATTTCATGAAAACTACTCATTGTAATACCTTAATGTACAGTTTTTACTCCAAAAGATATTTGTAATGTTCGGGTGTGAAAGTACACAATGTATTTACAACCAGTTAAGTTAAACCTATCGATTGATGCTCACTACCAGGACTAACGATCGCCTTTGCAAACTAGTATGACGTCTTCTCGATTGCAAGGAATAGGTTTCCAATTTTCAGAAAATTCCTGTATAGTGTGTCCCACTAGTCCACTGTCACACAAGAGTATTACAGGGGTTGGCTGTATGCAACTTGCAGTCTGCAACATGTTAGGAGAGTGTCAAGGTTGTGAATGGAGTTGATTCATTCGCCTGTTAGTCATCCAGTGTGGGCGATACGAAAGAGAAGATAATTTTAGGCTGCGACTCCAAAAGAGGATAAAATACATAATATACTACCTCTTTTTTCAATGCTACAAAGATTTTGTCCATTTGTCTCATTAATGAAGGGAAACCTCTTATTGTACTTCGATTTATACCATGATCTTTGACTATTGAAAGAAATGAAGCTCATTTCAATCACTCGTAGTGTGCCAAATGTGATTGATTGTAGTGGCTCTCACAAGTTGTGTAGATCGGCTGCCACTCAGTCATTCACCTCCATCTGTGTAAACAGTCAATAACAGAAATGAACATAATACAATTACCTTATTTAGAGTTCTTTACTTTTGGATTCGCAGATTCCATGAATAGCCACACTTGTTAGCCAAAATCTGCTTCATGCACAATACAGAACTCATGTTTCGGTTGATAAGTTAACGGTAAGACTTTCAAGGGTAGAGGCTTTCGGTGAGGTGATGTTTAATCTCCCTAATGCCCATTTTGGAATGCCTTGATGAGGTACCCAATTGTGAATGCCTATTGGTTCATTGATGACCCGTCGTTAAACATGCATTAATATGACTATATGATGTCCACGACCGTGTATCACTTCCCTATACTACGTAGTTAATCCTTTCTGGGCTGTATGGCCATTGTGCCTCATATTTTACACGGAACATGATAATGAACTATTACTCTGTCTGATATCCTCGGCCAGCTGCCCAGTTATAGAACATGGCCAGCAATGGTGAACCACTGTTAGTTTTTTCTCCTTGCCCTCTTTGGAAATTCTTCTTCATTCGCTTTGTCAACAAGTTTTCTGCCATCAGATCGGACCTTGTTTCGATAACCCGGCGAGCGAGCCAGAAATTCGGGGCTTGGTGGTCACACATCAGGTAGGATTATGGAGTGGCTATATTTCTATCTCGACAGCAATCCACCCATTGGTTGGGGTAATTGTGACCGAAGGCCACGATAACCTATCATATAAAGGGACTATAGACCACTTACTGACCCCCTAGGGATAAACTTTTATCCCACACTTTCTTGCTATTTCTTCAGCCATCTGGATCAACGGTTTAGCTTACGCTAGGTGGGAAGCTAGTTGGAAGATATTAGGCGTGAGGTTGCTTCCACCGGAACTTGTTCTGGAGGTCTCAGATGCTGCTAGTATCCAGACAGGATCTTGGAAACGGTACGACTGACAGGGTTATGACCTTGGTTCCTACTATCCTGTAGTATGCTTCGATCCGCTTACTTACACCCTTCTCATTTAGGCTGCTCAAGTAATGTGATTACTGATACGAAAGTTTATATTAATGCCTCTGCTCCTAGGAAGATTGTTCGCCTTCTCTGCTTCATCTCTGCATGGGCTGCGTAGTGACCCACGTTCAGCTACACCACTACTAAAATCCACTGGCTGCCCATTTCTTCTCATACTCAGACTATGATTTACTCCAATCGAGTCAGGTCGCTCACTGTACTCAAAATTTACTCATCCGTATGATGACCAGTGAAAAATCGCTGTTAAGAGCCTGGTGCATATCAGCATTTATAGTCCATAAGAGAATATTACATTGTTAACCATTTTACATGTACAACAGCTGCGGGTGTGTGACAGTGTAAACATATAAAGTAACATGACTTCATTATCCTCAGTGTTCTTAAATGAGTAACAACTGCAAGCAAAGCATGAAGTCACAGTGTGAAAATAATGAACCACCAAACCTTACCAGTGCGTTAGGAAACGTGAGTAAATAAATCCTCTGAAAATATCAGCTAATCACAGTAGGATTTTTATGCGCACGCTACCAGTGCCACTGGCAATCCAACAGTCCATACAGCGGTGGTGACCAAATACCACAGCAATAAATCTTCTGTCGAGCTACCAACGTGCATATCCAAAATTTTCTGTTACTCCGTATAGTGTCTCGACTATTCCTTCCACGTTAACTTTATCTCAGCTGCGAAAATATTTTTATTTTTATTTTTTATTTTATTTTTTGATTTACAGCTTGATCCCACACTGTATTTTCGGTACAAGTATGGAATTTTCAGCATGGATATCGGTAGCCCAAATTTCGCAGGCCGACCATAGATATCAGGTGTGCGCCGGCGTGGGCCCGAACCCCGGACCATGTGCATGGTCGGCGAGAGTCCTAACCACTGTGCCACCGACGCGGTCACGCGAAACTGAATCCACTAAATATTTGCATACGCTAATTGCTTCTGTTCTGCAACTGCTCATATAATTAACCAGTGACTAATGTGGAATCAAAACTATTTAAAACTCCATTTTTCGCTAAATTTGAAATTGAAACGCTTTATTTTTCTGTGGTCATGGCTGCGTAAATCCTCACATAAACTTCGTGATAATTCATAACGGAATGGCTAATACCGGCAAAATTCGCGACTTAATTCATTTAGAGGCTTTTGCGTTAATTATAGGGAATAATATTGTCGATATTTAGCTTGGTGAGTTCTGAATGGGACATGCTCTTGGAAATAACCTTGCTGCTTACTGTTCAGAACTGACCTTAGACGTTTCAGAGATGATAGGATGTCGAAAGTTGCTGAAGATGTGCTATACTGCAAATCAATTGTTTTTGTGTGACTGCCAAAGTACTAGTTCTACTGATAATAGAGAAGAATCCAGTGAACGAATTGATTCTCTGGAATATGAAATATATCACGGGTTCACAGTCGTAGTTGGATGATGATTGCTGAGCTGGGGTTTGTCCATGATCAACCGAACGTGGGACGACAGGGTGCCATTTGGAGGAGAGGGTAGATGGCCAACCATCAGCTTAATGAGTCGACTCAAATAGTGAAGGTTAGCTTATAGTATTCAGCGGTGAGTGCTGTAGACTAATAGTTTTAACGGAATTGCGATCGCTACAGAAGCAGCATTATCATGTTTTTTGGATGGATAACTTGAGGTGTGATTATGAGATGTGAACCAAAGAGTATAAAAATCATGCAGTTCGTCCTGAGGTCCCTGCCTACCCGACATATTCCATGTTCTCACGTATCAAGGAGGGAGAGTGGCGCTAACTGATCACTAGATATGATGGTGGTCACTGAGGTGAATCCCCCCATTCTGCAGGAACAGCAATATGCGATTTGACGGCTCCAGATATTTCTGATTTTTATGAGGGCTTAGATCTTTATCTTCAAAAAGATAAAAATGAACGCCTAGACAGATCATGCTTCTGCCTTTAAATATATACCATTCACTCAGCCTATTGTTGAGATGCGACCACGTGGGCTCTGCACAGTTTATGGGGCATCTTATAAATTAACTTGCTATCCATTGTCATATCTTTACATAACACTTCACAATGTCTTATCTCATTCATTTTCTAATAACGTCTTTACTTGATCCTCATTATACTCCGTTAAACCTAACATTTTATAGCTCTTTATGAATTTGATTCGACTTACTCTATTCCTATTCTCTGTAGGGTACGGTTGTGCACCAAATAGACAAAAAGGCATGAAATAAAAACAACTGGCTTGAAAATAATTGTATTAAAGACAAAAGTTGACATCATGATAGTAAGAACTATATGGGCATTATTATACATTGCAAATGAACGTTGTCGGCCTAAGGATTAATTACTTCCCCATTCTGTTTCCTATATAAATGTATTTATTAATCATATATTGCACTTACTTAATTTATTACACTTTAATGATTCACCTTAGAGCTTTAACTTTTCTAAAACAGCTTTCAATCCCTGTAGACGTACTTACCTTAATGTTTGTTGGTTATCGTATGCCTACAACCACGGGATCAAAACGAAACAAAGTCGATTTTCCCGCGAAACCTGGAGGACAATTCAATAACTATACGGCCTGGTTCAGATCATGAGTGTAATTATATATATATCAAATATTTAACTGTTGAAACATTATTAACTTGTAGACGATCTAAGATTTGACATTATACCATACTTGATCGTGCCTGTAAAAATGGCATGCATTTTCATGTAAATTTATGTTTATATGAAAATATAAATTATTATTATTATCATAAGCTCTTTTTCCAGATAAGTAATAATCATTATATCAATGCTTTGAGTAGAAACAAGCCGATTTTAGTTGCCAGAACACATGCAGAAAATAAGCAACTGCTATTAACTTCAAAATCGAAATTTTATCATGAAAAGGGGAGGAATATTATATGTTACGAGTCTGTGTGAGTGAATTGCCCAACAGAAGTGTTTCATCAGAGCGGATGTTCTTTTGGTTAAGCTTATTCTCTGATGAAGGGTTTCGTGAGGGATGTTTTGCTTGTCTACAGGGGAGGTCCCCACTGTATCAGGAAGATGCTTGACGTCTGCATGTTTGGTATCAATAATTTCAGCGCTGGGCTGGAGTATTTTTTTGATGATGAGTACAGTAATATTTTCTTGACTCCGCTATCCAGACACATAATTCAAATTTGGAAGGGGGATACAAAAGGAAACCACGGGAATCAGGCGAGGGTACTTAATAAGGGCTAATGATTTACAGTAAAGGGACCACTGTGAATACTGAGTAAGGAATAAACACACGAAACTATTTATATGCTATCTAGTTGTTACACTGCAGATCTTACCTTTAAACACTAGAG